ACAAGCCTTATAAGAGAAAGTCCTTATGTGTCAATATAACTTCATTTGTTTAACCATATTTTCACAAATCAAATTAGATCCAATTGTCTACCTAAAATAGATTGAGACTTGTTCATTCTAGGTTGTATAATATATGTTTTTAGAAAGAAAAAATAAAGAAAAAAGAAATAATTAACTTTTTAATTTTAAAAATCTCATTTGATGCCTTGGATAGAAAATTGGATGAAGTAAATTTAAAAAAAAAAAAATCGCAAGTGTATTACTTTTGGAGGAATGAAGTACTGACAGTGCGTAAAATAAATATGTTATCTGGTTTCTTTTTTGTAGCTGCCATGGTTAGTTAGTTAGTTGGGTTATCATCATTGCACTCCGGACATGTCCATAGGTGCTCAGATCCTCCCCTCAGCCATGGTGTGGTGGCAAAGTGCTTGCCTGCGGATCCGAAGGTAGTGGGTTCATGCCCTGATGGAGCCACTTTTTTATTATTTTTGTTTTTAAATGTCCATGGCTTCCAGGTTGACCCAGCCTTAAAGGAGTACCAGGTTTTGTCATAGGGAAAAAACAAGATGGCCAGCGTAATAATACCCAAACCACTCATGGATATAATCTATATACAGAAGTCTAGCATATTATGTCAGATATGCCAGAGGTGGGAGAAGTATCCTTTGCTTACATGGGCATCAGTTAAAACAAAAATAGGTAGATTAAAATGTAAAGGCAGATGGTGTGATTTTGTCAGCATCACCTATCGATTGCTGGTTGCTTTTTTGTGACAGTACTGGCAGTGACCACAGATACTCCCCTAGTTACATGTATAGTTTAGGTTAGTTAGGGCCGAAGTTAGCCATCTATAACAGAAGTTTAAAGATGGTATTCTAACCCAATAGAAATCCGATTGTGCTCACGCCGACATCAACGATATTTTTTGCGTTGCCTAGCAACCAGCTTTCCCCTGTTTCCCCTCTGACCTCCCGCAAAAACCAGATGGGACTAGCTTACGTCATTTAAATCCCAAAGGAGTTATCATTTTGGCGATCAACCACAGCACAGCGAGACTACCCTGTCCGACCAATGATAGAACGGGACGGGTAGAGCCCTCTCTTTGGCGCATGCACATGGCTAGGGTCACGTGTCGTTCATGTGGAGCACAAACGCCATCATTTCGGGAAATTCCATTTCCAGAGGCAGTAGAGTATAGATCAGGCAGTTTCAAGTTCAATTATTTCTACTAGTGAGTGTTATTTCATATTATTTTGTTCTGGAATAATACTGTAGTGATTCTCAACAGTTCTGAGGGCCCTGTGGTCCATAATACCAATGCCAGCCAACGATAAGTACACCAATTGTAAACATTGTCCTGTCGCTTAAGAACTGGCACAGACAAAGAAACAGTTCAAGGAAATTGATTACAACTTTTTAAACGACCACGTGTCGCACACAAACTTTAAATACCACAACAGTGGACTGTAACTTTTTGGTTACCAAACTGAAAATCAGCAGTGGACCATCTACAGAGAGGATCACCAGAAATTACAGCTACAGAAGCCAAGTGTTCCAGTTTCCGCACCATGTCAAACTTTTGGGAATCTCCACGGGTGAGCTGTACTCGTGCGGGGAAGGAACTGGACCTAGCAGACATTTCTTGTTCCCCAATGATGATAACCCTTGTGGTTTAAAGAACACTAAACCACCATCAATTTCTGGCCAGTCAGCTGTCTAATAGTACAGTAGAATTAAAGTTACAAAAATATTCTTTATTTACTACTATTCTCGTCTGTCTTTGTTGTTGTACATGAGCGATAGTTGAGTGAGGGAGAAGTGAGCATTCTTTGCTTTCTCTCTGGGAACTCTTTCTTTAACACAGTGGCAGAGGAGTTGCCACCAAGATAACTAGCTTGCCTTAGCACAACACCATTGGAGCGGGGTAGACTTATCTTCTTGTCCTCTGTCCCAGGAGTAATATCTCAGTCTCTCTACCCTAGTAGACAGTGAAGTTACCATACTTCTATTGAGCCATACATCATCATCATCGCCGACTGGCATGGGCGATCATGCCTCTCCACAATCTGCGATCTCCTGCAGCATGTATCAGTTTGTGTGCCGACACACCTCTATGCCATGCAACAAGACTGTCAAGCATCTTCTCTCTTGTCTTCCTCTATCCCTCCTTCCACAGATCTTTCTAGTGGTTACAACATGTTCTATTTTTCCTCTTCTCATAACATGGCCGAAAAATGATGACTGTCTCCTTCTGATGTTTGTGATAAGTTGTCTTCGGGCTGCCGCCTCTTTCAAAACCTCTAGGTTGCTCTTTTTGGCTGTCCGCAGTATTCTAAGCATTCTTCTGTAAAAACACATCTCTGAAGCCTCTAAAAATGAGCCATACATAGACTGTAGATTATCTCCTGTATAGGAACCCTACCCTACCTAGGGCTCTCCTATAGTTGTGACATTTATAAAATATAGGTCTAGCCCTATATGCCCAAAAATACCTGAAAGTGTAGAAAATGGTCCTTTATTTTACTTTAAGTGGTTTCTTTAGTATGCTCTAATTAAATTAAAGAAGTGGAAAAAATCATGACACATTTGACTGACTGACTGACTGTGGAGAGGTCCCAGAAACCGCGTTCAGACAATTGGCCATATTGATGGCCTGCCTATATTGCGGCCCCTGGCAAAAGCCAGAGTGGGGCTTCAAATTACAAAAAATAACGTCCTAAGAAGGATATACTAATATAATGTAATAATGATTTATCAGTAGAAATGAAGAATAGGCTGTCAATCATAGTGCATGGTTGGAACAAGAAAAAATTTAACTGTCTTGCCAGAAGAAAGCTGTTTATCTGGCTTTTTTATTTGCATTTTGGTTGACATGATGTCTTTGGACAGTGTCCAGCCCAGTTTGCCTGTATGACAGGCCAGGTACTGGCTGCAACTGCATATTTCATTATCATCATCATATCACTGTCAATGGCAAAATGACCAAAACAACTGCTAAGTGGTCAAAGGGAGGGAAGTCAGTTAGTTCTTTGATCCATTTGTATGTAGTGATTACTTCCCTGCATGCAGAATTAACATTTTCTGATTTATACATTTAGTGACTGGAAAACATAATGAAAGGGTTAAGTAATATTTCTAACTACACAGTATTATGTGGAAAAATATTAGGCGAGAGAGGCAGTTGAAGATAAAGAAAGAGACACAAAGAGCTTTTGACAGGAAGTAACAATATAAACAATTACAACATTTCTAAGAGGCATGGAGTTATAAATGTATTTGTGTTCTTAACAATATTCCACTTGTAGTCAAAGCAGACTGAGTTTATGTTGGATTAGTGAATACCCAGCCAGGCTTAACACACTAGAAATTAATAATTCTACTATCAGTAAAAACCTTTTGATGTAGAAATCACAACTATTGTTGATCTATCTATCTTCTTTTACCCCACCACGACATCACACAAGCAATAAACACCCGATGACACAAAGTGCCACCATGTGGATGAGGATTACCTGTAGAGAGGTCCCAGAAACCATGTTCAGCCATTAGATCATGTTTATGGGTGGGCTATATTGCGGCCCCTGGCCAGAGTAGGGCTTCAAATAATGAACAATTGCATCCCACAAAGGGATGACAAGATATGATTAACTACTGTTGATCACCTATGTCAAACAAATTTGCAGATCAGCTAACATCAGCAAGGGGGACAACATCGAAGAATTACTAAATGAATTGCTTTTCGCTGATGACCAGACAATTATAGCACCAACAGCAGTACAGCTACAAGAAGATATTAACAGACTCCACTCAAAATGTGACAACTACAATATGAATATCAACGTAGACAAAACAGAAGTGAAGACATTTTCCAGAAAAGGAAGAACCACTCATGTCACAACTGATGAACATCTATTTAAGGTCAGGGAAGGATTTTACCTTTTTTTTTAAGAAGCATTTTTTTTTGAGAAGACAGGAAAACGAAGATGCAATAAAGCCAATCAAGTTTTAGGCCAAATGGCACTAATTTTGAAATACAAGCATGTGAATATGAACACTAAAAGAACACTGTTCAACACAATATTCTTACCAACGCTTTGCTATCAATGTCAAACATGGACACTGTTTTCAGAAGACAGAAGGAAAATAGTCACAACAGAAATGAAATATTTACGTACTATGCTTGGTGTAACGAGGAAAGATCGACTTAGGAACAATGATATCAGGAGGAGAATCAGCACAAAACCAATACTGAACTTTATAGGTAAACAACAAATCAAACAGTTTGGTCATGTAACAAGATTCTGCAGCAGATAGGGCACTACAGAGAGCAATGTTAAACAAATACAGCGTTAACAGACCTAGAGGTTGACCATGTAGAACATGGACCGCAGAAACACTGAAAAGTACTTTATAGGAAGAAAACAGAAGAGACCTCTTCCTCCCCTGATGCTGCGAGGCATTCAAGAAGTAGAGAGAAAACAAGAAGAAGAAGTTGAAAAAAAAAATCAAAGAAAGAAAGAGAATGCCAATAGGAAAAATACATTGAAATCATGAGGAGAGTCAGTTCTGGTGCAGAATGCTGTTCACACCACTAGCTGGTCAGACAAACTTTGCTGGACCCATAGTTTTAATCAGCCCTTGACAGGTGATGTGGTCAACATCCCACAAGCTACCATTACTTCACAAAACACTTCCAGGTAACTATTTTAGATTGGGTCAATCTAGAAGTCGAGGTCTATTAATCAAAATCTGTCTAAATGTCAGTTTGAACTCAAGACATTTGAGCCAGTTGGCAAGTATCTAGCCACTGCAATACAATGGCCCATAAAGTGAGGATAGGGCTTCAGTATAATCAAATATCTTCTTCTGTAATGTGAACTGCTTGGAAAGTATACTTAATGATCTTGTTTCATTAAAAGAAAAGGCATACAATTACATCATTATGTGTAAATTATCTAATCTCCAAGAATAATTTTCAAACAAACTAGACTCAACCTTACCTTATCTAATCCCCATCCAACACTTTCACATTCAGGAGTCACTCCAAAACAGAAACACTGTGTGCACCCATCTGGATTGGTGCTGTCTAAATTAAAGAATCCACGCCTGCACCTGTCACATCTGCTACCTTCCACATTTTTCTGACAAAAAAATATAAACATTTCCATAATATATTTTTTTTTTAAAAGAAAGGTGAGAATCTTAATTTAAATAGTATTTAGCCTGCTGTAATCAAAACATGTATGCTCCTTTCACTTACTTACGTGCATACCAAAAATCAATCCTTTTTTCAGTAGTCATTATTTTATGTTTAAATTTTACAAAAGTTTTGTTTTTTTAAATCAACAATTTAAACTTCACTAAGACATGATAATAGATCAATTCTAACTGCCCACTGATTAACCCAGTTCTGACTCCTGTGAGAACATCATGACATTAACTAATCATTAAATGGAGGATGTGTGAAATGTATACATTTTCATAACCATGCTCCTACAACAGTAAATCTTATTCTCTCATGTACAGAATATATTTGTAGCTTCACATCTGTCCCCCCCCCCCCCCCCCCCCCTTCCCCCTTATGCCATATTTTCTAAAGAAATAAATATAACCACTTGTATCTAAAAATGTATTCCCCCTAAAAAAAAAAAAAAAAAGAAGCAAAGTTATATAAAAAAAGCACTAAATAAATCACGGTTTTAAAAAAACTGCTAAAGTAGTACATTTATATAAAGTAACACATTATCACTTTATTCGACTATATGTATACATTCTGCATAAAACAGTACATTTAAGATTTTGTTCAAGCAAAGTGATATACTTACTTACCTTGCAAATACAAGCTCTGTCACACACACTGGAATCCACACTGCCAGCAGCATGACAATGACAGGGTTGACAGTTGGGGTAGCCATAAAATCCAGGCGCACACAATGTACACTGAGGCCCAGTGAAACCTTTCTTGCAGATACAATCCCCTGGATTCTGTGGTGTGAACATTTAAGATTTTGGCAGTATTAATGCAATACTGAAGACTGGACAAACACATTGTTATCAGAGGTCATAAGTGCTTTGGTAAAAACATCACACACAAAAATTAGTATATCATTTTGTATCAGTGGTAATGTATGCCAGGACAATTTTTCAAGTAAAAAATGAAATAAAGATGAACTGCATATGGTGGCAAAGCATGGAATAGAAGTTATGAATTGGTGAGGGTCTGTGGTCATTTGGGAACAAAGAATAAAAGAATGAGGAAATTAACATCACTGGTCAAAAGAGGCACCGTGAAGTGTTCACACAGAGAGTATTGTAACTCTACTTCAAACATATAAAATCATTTACAAAACTTTCATTTGCTTAAATCTGCATTTCCTTTGCAATTTTTAGCTCCAGTTATACACTGTGCTCATTCATTGTTTGGCACACTAGAAGACATGTCAATGGACATCGGCTTTGTATAAAGCTGCTAAACATAGATTTTTTTCTGGAAGAAATCAGAGCTCCAGTGGCTATTTCTCAAGCATAATGATGATAATCTGAACTGTTGTAAATAAGCCTTGGACACAAAAGTGAGATATATGAAGACAATGAACTGAAGACATACCAGTCCTTCAGTGACACGACTGTCATCAGACACACAATCACTAGTTGATGTCTGAGTCTCCTGACAGCTGCAGGGTCTGCAGGGAAATCTCATGGATGGTGTCATACCTGTGGGTCTGTAGTAACCTGGTAAACATCTTTCACAGTTGATGCCTGTTGTATATTCCTGAAATATCATAAGACATAATAACACAGCAAAAATAACATATATGATTAAATAATGTACACATGATACACAGTCAAATCTATATATATAAAAATCAATGTATGTTTGTTTGTGTCATCTAGACTCAAAAACTACTGAACCGATTTTGCTGAAATTTTCAGGATGTTTCTTTTGATGTTGGAATGCTACCCATAGTTTGAAACAGGTGACGATAACACGAACTACAAAGCTCCAGGGACGATCACATCAGCATCTTGTTTTCTTTTTTTGTGTGTGCCCCCGTTCCCGCCGAGGGTTTTTATTTAAGAAAACTTTGACTGTTGACCTCAGATATCTGCATATAATCAACTGACGACCAGTTTTTGACAGAATGTATGGACATTTAAAGGTGTGGGAATATAAATACAGCTGTTTAAATAATGTATGCAAATGAAACGGCTCACTGCCATTGTGCAGGTGCATTCTATTACAATACTAATTATGATTACAGACTTCCTCTAAATATGGTTGGAAAAGTGGATACACTGTGCGTGTATTGCAGTGCCGTAAAATTTAAGAATAAAACACGGGGAATGTGCTGCACAGGTGGAAAAGTTAAATTTGCAGTATCGTATCCAAATTGTCAAGCTTTTTTTATTTTTTTGCAAGAACATGAAAAAAGGACAATGATCCAATACAGTTATTAAATATTGTTATAGCAAGTTTCCTTTAAATTCAATTTCTGTTGGAGGCGTAGCAACGCGTGGCCGGGTACAGCTAGTATTTTATATAATACAACTACAAGATTTATTGGTCTGCAGATCATGAGGCCTTGACAAGTGACTGTATCTTCCAGAATGAGCTTGGTATAGAGATTTTTCTCCTAACTGTTCCAAAGTATCATCCTTCCGGATCAAATAAAGCAACAGGAAGTGACTAAAAGATCTATCTGATGCTTAACACTCAGAAGAAAGATATTTAGCAAGACAGACATATAATCATAATGCAACTGGCACCATGAGTACAGGAACTTCCCACCTGTGTAAATGCAAAGTAGGATTTATACAGATCAAGATTCTTCTTCATCTTTTTCTTGTGTTCACCCTTAAGAGACAGTTGGTACTCTGTACTGTGATTTACAGATAGGCTGTGATATCTGTGCTTTCTGAGAAAATATTTCTGATTTCAGCAAACTCCCAATTAATTAGCTGCCTTTTACAACATGTTTAATAAGGGTGCAGTGGATCTATTCTTTTGTTTTCCATTAAACTGGGGCCCCAGAACCCATACAGAGAGGTCAGATTCAACACAGAACATATGAACTGACTGAAATTAGCCTCAGATTTGTCATGGTTCCTCCATTTTAGGGATTATATTGTCAAGAGTTTATAAACACAACACAAAGTGAAAAATCAGCTACCATCGAAAACACATTTGGCTAATCCTGTGACATTTTATATTATATTTCTTACTCTGCAATTTAAGCAGACACCACCCCCATCATACATGGCCAGCTTGTTAAGACTGAGACCAAGAGCATCCACTGTTGCATTATACACACACTCATTTGACTTGTCATGGCAGTTGCACTCTGTAAACAATAAAACAGACATTTTCAAGTATTCTTTGTAACCAGCTTGGCATGGATTACATTGGATGGCACTCTAAAAAGCCTATATAAAATCTACTTATAATGTGTTTAGAAATTGGTGTCAATATTCAAACAACTATATTTCAGCTATAGTGGAATATATTGGATGAAATTATATATTAATATTGACTCCATTCACAATCAGACAGGTTTGCATCCTTGAGAACATTTGGCGAGGAAAGGAGTGAGTCAGAGTGCTACCTGAACAGTCAGACTTGTGTAGTGTCATAATCTCACTGAGCTGGGAATGCAGAGACTGGCCAGCAGGTGCCACTGAGGTGGAAATTCAGCAATTAATTCAATATAATGCTCACTAAGAGGATTTTATTATTTACACAGACGGTTTAGTGTCAAGAGGCTTAAGAAGTGCTTGGCGTTTCTTAACAAAAGTTAATGGCCGATGTTTGGTGCTGGAAAGCATAGCATATGATACCACAACTTAAAAATGGAGGTGGAGGCGGTCACTGCAGCTTTCTGCTGGTTAGAGAACACACACACACACATTGTGATTGTATCTGACTCAGAAAGCAGCATGCTGAGGAAGGTCACGACAGGCATGCTTTGCGCAGAGTAGCATGCTTCACTGCAGAGGACATGGGTGAGGAGTATTGTGAACGAATATCTTTGTTCCAGACCATAATAATGGATTGTACAACAAGAGCAACAATCTTTGTTCCAGACCATACTGATGGATTGAACAACAATCTTTGTTCCAGACCATATTAAAGGATTGAACAACAAGAGCAACAATCTTTGTTCCAGACCACACTAATCATTGTACAATAAGAGGGACAATCTTTGTTGTAGACCATACTAATGGATTGTACAACATAACCAACTATCTTTGTTCCAGACTATACTAATGGATTTTACAACATGACCTTCAATCTTTGTTCCACATGTGCTGTGATTATTCTTATCAATGCTGCCTACCATGCCTGGTAGTTGCAGTAGCATGGTGGTTAGCATACTTGTCTGCTGGCCAAGTTGTAATGTGTTCAAATCCTCATCTAAGCTAGGACTTAATATTTTTATTTCAAAATGACCCAAAGCATCCAGGTCAGCCCAGCCTAACGTTGGAACCCTGGATATATCTGCATACTCCCTGACTGTTGGAACCCTGGATATATCTGCATACTACCTGACTGTTGGAACCATGGATATTTCTGCATACTCCCTGACTGTTGGAACCTATTCTAGGCAGTAGGATGTTTTAAAGTGCTTTAACAATTTTTTAAAAATTATCTTCTCATAGGGGAAGCAACTGACCTTCACAGCCAATGTTTTGTATGCCACCAACCTGCCAGGGTTTCTGGTTAAACAAGGGCAGGCATTTCTCACAGTTGTCTCCCATGGTATTATGTAAACACTGACACTGCAATCTCTGCAAAGCAAAACAATTATGGCACAGCTTTAAATAATAAATTACATAAAAATGTTAACTCTTTGAGTCCCAAGGAACGTATCATACGTTCATAGATTCCTATCTAGAGGCCCAATGAACACGCATATATTCCTTACGTCCTTCTTAGGACGTAATTTTTTGTTATTTGAAGCCCCACTCTGGCTTTTGCCGCAATATAGGCAGGCCATCAATATGGCCAATTGTCTGAACGCGGTTTTCTGCACCTCTCCACGGCGATCCTCATCCGCATGGTGGCACTTTGTGTCATCGGGTGTTTATCGCTTGTGTGATGTCCTGGTGGGGTAGAAAATCAGTCAGTCAGTCATAAACGCCTAATGCGCCGATTTTACATCTCTTTTGACTACCCCTTGGGCCTGTGATGCTAAGCCCCCTGGGACTCAAAGAGTTAACAGTGAACCTTTTATCAGCTACAGAGTTAATTCCAATAAAAGCTGCTTGCCCAAGCTGTAGCATTAAGTTCACAGTCTAGTTATTGTTCAAACCCGTGCATTTTACGGAGTCAGCTCTCAGCATCAACTTATCGATGTTCAAAATGGCTATGCTGCGTTGTGAGTGAAATTATGTGTCGTTAAAGTTGACTAAATAGGGGTGCTTCCATTTGAAGTCTGGGTGCATACGCCTAAGAGGTGAGGGATTAACAATCTGTGCATAAAGAAGCCAGATCTGAGCATGCACAACTCAAGTTCTCGAAAAAGACCAGTCAACAAGGAGGGGAAGGAAAATTATATGATTTTTGTGAAAAGCACAATACAACATTAGAATCCTAGTTTCTACAAAAGTTTTGTTACTTACTAGTAATATCTTGTTATCTTGGTGCCATGAACATAAAGTTTTGAATTTATAATACAAGTGGTGAAGATTCGATTACCCATGTGATACCATGTTGGAAATGTCACTTTCCTTAATTTCTTTTTTTTTAAAGACATGCACTACTGATATCAGCACATTTTCATATACGCCAATGGGATATATGGTTAGTTGTCGAGAAAGAGAGAGAGAGAGAGAGAGAGAGAGAGAGAGAGAGAGAGAGAGAGAGAGAGAGAGAGAGAGAGAAAGAGAGAGAGAGAGGAAGAGGGGGGAGTGAGAAAGAGAGGAAGAGGGAGAGAGAAGGGGAGAAAAGAAAAAAAAAAGAAGAGTGCATGTAAACATGTGTGCGTGTGCATGTCTTTGAGTGTGCATATATGTGTATGTGTGTGTTATCCTCCAAAATAGTTCATCTCTAAAACTATTAGTTTTTAAAATTAAATAATTATTATTCATACACATATTATTCATACACAATAACACATACCTATTAAAATTTTTCTATATTTGTTGCTTATGTCTTGAGGTGGAGAAATCTGGAGTACGCTGTTAAACCAGAAATTTGGAAGGGAAGAGAAGCTGAGGGAGACCAAGAGAAATGATACTGGACAGTTTAGCATCATGGCATGAATGATCATTAGAGTCAGAAATAAATGAAAACAAATGAGGCAGAAGATTGTGGACCGTTACGACTACCAATGCCACACATTATGGACCACAAGAAGAATATACTAATACTCAGGCATGAACTGAACACCAGAAGTCATTTAATTCTGTCTTTATTTCTAAATATTCCACCATTATAAATTGTTTGTAGTTATACTACTTACATCTGGGAGAGTGTCATGGCGACCACAGTAACTTGCATGTCCATAACAAATACACTGTCCTCCTATAGATATGTCTTTCACTGAGTAATAATACTGTAAAACATTTGATCAAGAATAACAGATTAACATGCAATAACAATATAATATTATTATATATAATAATAATGACGATACCATTATAAATGCTGAAGTTAGAATCACAGTCACAGTTACTGATAGACTGTATCACAGAACACATTTGACAACTGAAATATATTCATTTATGGTCACATGGTGAAAACGAAATGATGACCCTCTTGAGAATAAGTGTACTACATTACAAGAGCACATTAATTACTTTACAAATGTGACATTACTCCAATGAGTGACAGCAGTGAACCCCTGAAAGAACAAGTGTACACTGATGAATGTGCAGTTAGATACTTTATGAACATAAAATAATAAAAAATATAAAAAAATGTGACTTTACTTAGCACAGTTGACTACCTGCAAGAGAATATGTAAACTGATAAATGAGCAGCTAGAAACCTTGAAAATGTGACATCAGTTAGAGATTATTAAAACTATTGGCAAGAGTGAGCTACTGAAAAATAAGTGTACATTATTTTTTGAGCAGTTAGATATTTAATGATGTGATATTGCCTAGTCCCAAGGAAAGTAGTTCCTACCTGAGAGAACAAGTTTACATGATACATGAGCACTTAGATACTCAAAAAAAAAATGTGCAGCATTCCATAGTACCAGTGATAGTGATACACTAGAATTTATACAGTGCATAAGATATCCTGCAAGGTGAGATCACTAGAAGGCACAGCTGTTCATTCAGCAGGCTCTCTGAAAGACACAGGAATAAAAATCTTGGTAAGCTCATCATTTTCAACTTCTCTTCTTAACTCTCCTTTTATGTCTAAACCTTGTTGCAAAATTTGTTATTTTATAACATGAAACTTTAGCTTAGGATTTTATACAATTTCTTTCTGACCAGTTTGGCCCTGGTGCTGACCCAGTTATAATTGTCTGGGGGGAAACAGGTGATAAGGAAGGGAACTGGTCCTCCTACTGTATATGTCCTGGCCTAGAATATGTCAAGGCCTGACGCTTCACACTCCAGTGGCAGTAACTACTGTGAGACTACTTTCACCTTCACTTGATTCACCTGGATGTATATTCTACGTAAGTAAGTAAAGTACCCTTTTCCACGCCTTTAGGCGTATAGGGCATATAGGGCTAGAACTATATTTTTATAGATCCATTGGCACAAGATGGGTGATGTGGTCAGTATCATGCCAGCCTCCTTTACTTCCCCAGAACTGCACCCGGTAGCCACTCAAGGCTCGATCGACCTGGGAGCCAAGGTCATTTTTTTTTTTAAAGTCTGGCTCCACCAGTGAGCAAACCCACGACTTTCCGATATGCGGCAAGTGTCTAGCTGCTCGGCCACGGCGACTCCCTATTCTAGGTAAACTGCATATGTAGAAAAGTGTTGTCAGTTATTCATATGACTTACTCATGTGGGTTTTATGGCATCATTCCAGGGAAAACAGAAGAGAACTAATGCCGCCCCCACCCCTTTCCCTTGTATAACCTTGTCACAAGAGCCCTGACTAATTAGGTGTTTGTCGTTTGAAGTCAGAGGGAACTGTCTGAGAGGCAAGGAACCTAGAGTCTGCATAGAAATATCTGAAATATGAGATCTGAAATATGATGTGCACACACAACTCAGCTTCTGGAACAAGATCAAAGTCCAGAACCTTCTACCAATATCTACTGCTGATGAACTTTAAGAAGAATAAATTCATATAACTTTTAGAAACCTTCACACACATACCCTTCTTGTAACAGAGGCATCCACTTCTTTAGGATCAATACTTGTGAAAGACATCAGGTCAGCATGAAGTGTCCTAATCTTCTGGAAGCGCAGCCGGACATACCTTGCAGATGTGAAGTCCTAGGATTAAAATGAAATATGTCTGAAAGCATGTGCCAGTGTTTTTTTTAACAAAAGAGCCATGTAACACAGATTGTTACAAACGTTTCAGTGATAACAATGTGTATTTAAATACAGGGCTCAAATGATGATAATTATGTACTATTCGCCTTATGGCACACACAAAGTCATGTATATCCTTGCATTGTAAGCACACACAAAATGAACATACTGAATCTTCCTCCCACACACAATCTGTGAATTCGTGAGTCCACTGCGATGTCTGGTGACCTGAGTCAATTTTTGAGGCTGTGTTGACATAAGCCAGGAGATGTCAGTTCAGCTTAAGTCAATATTATAAGTCGGTGCTAACTTAGGGCCGGAGGGACTAGTTGGTTCACGAAGTGTCAGCCCAGTAAGGGGCCAATCATCATACTTAGTGCTTGGATAGCAAGAAGTGCACGAAAAGTATAGGTTTCTCATTGAAGGGAAATCTTGCATAACAATGAGTGTCTTGTGTTGCATGGAAGAGCTCACAGAGGCAGGCATGTGAATATACTGGGGCTGAGTTCAGTTGAGAGAGAGAACTCAAACATTTGAGTTGAGAGCGTTTGAGGCAGAAGCACTGGAGAGAGCTAGTCTAGATGACAGTCAAGAGTGCAGTCGAAGGAAGAAAGTCCAGTTGTCAGAGTTGAGCCAAGACAGCTGGACTATTTTGAGAAGAAGCTGTCTTGGGTGACGAGGCATGAGTGGCGGTCGTGATCACTAGTGAAACAAGACAGCAGAGATGTGGGCGACAGCTGTGTGCTGAAGAGGACTTGGAGCTGGGAGTTCTGCTGGTCATCGTGGTTCCTTCGACCAGGCTGATGTGCTGTGTGCACATTCTGGATATCAAGCATTGTGAAGTCTTCCAGTCAGCCGATGTGACGGTGTCTGCTACTCATAGAGCAACAGAGGTCAAGTTGAGTAGGAGAGGTAGCCTGTTCATCTTTACAGCGAGCCCTGATGTAAGGGTATCTAGAGACCTAGGCACTGTAGCGGTCAGCTCAGCGGGAAGTGGCAGTTAGTGTAGGCTGTCCGATGGAGTGCCGCTAAACCAGTTGGAGTGAGCAAAGTGTGGGACATTCATTCCATGATTAGCCAGTGACTGGGCATGCTTCGCTTGCATTATTCTATGTGCAGGTTGGTGTGTACCACCCAAACGTTCTTGTGAAATAAATGTGCATACATTTGCATACATGTGCATACAACTGTTCATAAATGGCGGCAACACATGGTTGAGTTTTCCTGACATTTTGTGCGTTAGTTGGGTACAACAATTTGGAGTGTGAATCATATCCTAGACACCTGGTCAGATGTTCGTGTGCTGTCTTCCCACATCAGCACACAACAACTGGATATATTAGGGCTATTTCAAAATCAACCTCTAATTAGCTGGTAAAAAAACCATTTGCCATAGCTACACTGTTCATTCTTGCATCATTCAGTAGTCTAATAGCTCACTACACATCAACTTACAGTAGCATTTATTCAGTATTTCATGAATCACAAATGAATAAATATGGACACTGTAACTGCTTTTCCCGACACTTGTGAAATTCATGGTGTGATTCAATTTCTTCAAGCAGAAGGTAAAAAAGGGCTGTTGAGATTCATTTGTGTTGTGTATAGTGATAACATTACCAGTGACAGTTCTATGTGGGACTGGTGTAGATAATTCAGAGACGGGCATAAAGATGTGCATGATGAGGGTGGATAAGGATGACATTTATGCTAATTAAAAAAACTAGAAAAACAAAATTAAAAGTCGACCAAATCGTAGTGGAAAAGCACTATTTCACAATTTCAAATCATTCTGAATAATTTCCACACACTACTATTACTAGCTGATAAATCTGATAGAAATATCTTAAATCTGATCTAATTGAGTACATACGTCTGCGTATAACTAGTAAGTTTTTCCTCTAGAACCTAAAGAACAAACAAATATGAGGGTGATACAAAAATACATGGAGAAGATTTGAGGTTGTAATTGTAGAGAAAATTAATAACATTGGGAGGATCCAGAAGGAGACAGCTAAGGAAAAATGACCGTTTATATGCATTAATAATTCAGGCCAACTGTACACATTTCATTACATATCTTCCCTTTTATGTGATCATTTATGTAAATGATATCAGTGTGAGTCCTCACATTAACGATCTAATAACAACTGGAAATAGCAAGAGACTGGCTCCTCATGTAGTTTCTGAATTCCCATTTCGGGGATTAGGTAAGACCCACTGACCCCATTTTGTAAGAGGTGACTAATTAGGGATTTGTAGAAATCACATATGTTGGGTCGAAAAGAGCAGATATCACAACCTAGCTGTAGACTGCAACATAACGTGCTAATCAACATTTTAACAGTGAACACAGAAGAAGAGATAGAAGAGAATGGCAAACACAACAAACTTTTTTCAGAATTTAACAAACATATCCTTAAAAGAATATCTATAGTATGTGTAAGATGTTATATACATATATTATGATGCTCTGCAGTGTTACAGAGTTTGTGCACTGTGCTGAGATTGTGACTGAGTGAAACACACAAGAAAAACAAGCACATATGAAGGTAGCCATGTGTAATACAGGTAGTTCTATAAAGAATTGAGCCCTGGTTCCCTTGCTACAATGTTAACTGTCTACAGCTGTCTATGTTTTGAAATATTAACAGAATATCTCAGCTCATTACCCACTTAAAACAGACAGTGTATTACAGACTTCAAAAATATTAAGTCAAAAATGTATTAACTTCTTTTTTTTTTAAATAAAAGTAAATATGATTAACTTACCATCAAAACTTTACTAGGCTGAAACACTCCTGGTCGACCATTAACCAAGGATACAAAAATCTGAAAATGTTGTGATTTTAGATAAGACTGCAAAATGAACATGAATGCACACTTCATGCTTAACAAACTCTGTGCTAAGCAAGTCAGCCCACACTAATCTCTTTCAGTCCCAAATGATTTTACAGCAGATGAGGACAAGAACAACAGACAGCCCAATGAACAAAACCATGGTGATTTACTTACACAGAAGCAGCAAATAAAATCCTTTTTCAAACATATGTTCTCATACATGTCAGTCAAAATAAGGTTTCTAAACTATGTATGCCATCACAACTGGCCTTTTTTTGTAAATTTGGACAACAGAAGATCACACACAGTGCGTTGTTTGGGACTGAACAAGTTTAACATTTCAGTCTCTTTTTTGTATTTTATTTCAAGTATCTCTTAATACTTTGATTGACTATCTTATTTATAACAATCTGACATATTTTTTAATCACTGAATAAGAAAGTAAACATTCTATCTTGAAGATGGTATCAAGCACAAAGCATGCTCTCCGTAGCTCCAGCCGGTTCTGCACCACTTGGTGGTAAATTGAAGTATAACAAGCTAGACGTCAAGCTAGACGTTGTGAGTGCCCTCTGGGAGTGAGTGAATAGTGCAACAGCACAAATAAATCATTATGGTCTGAAAAGAATGGCGCTGTGAGGAGTTACCAGGGGATTTGGCCGGCACTTAACATTCAAGGGAAGGGCGAAACAGATATACAGACAGTTACTGGTGCCATCAGAATTGGAACTCTTCGTTTGCTGCTAAAGATGGGAACGGAGCATATATGGGGGGTGGGGGGGGGTGGGGGGGGTCCCGAGTGCTATGATATCGAATCTTAATTCAATATTCAACATTCTATCTTGTTAAATCTTAAAATTGACAATATTCTTATAATCTATATTAAAAAAAATGTTAATTTTCCGAGTTTGTTAACTTTAAACTCAGAAACTACTGAACCGATAGCTTTTCAAATTTTCACACAACGTTGCCTCTGACTCAAAGCGTTTTTTTTTTTTTTTGGTCATAAAATCGCACAAACCATGAACAACATAACTCCAGCAACGGTCAAATCATTATTTGTTTCCTTGCCCGCCCGGATTTGTTTTTAGTTGATTGGCTGCTGAGCAGGGCAGGGCTACCAATAGATGCCTTTTCCCCTAGGAACAATCTCTGACATTTCTTTACCGATCGCTTTCAAATTTTCACACAAAGTTGCCTTAGACTCCACGCGCGTTTGTATGTATGAGTTTTGCACAAACCACGAATGACGTAGCTCCAGCAACGATCATTTCATTAGTTATTTCCTTTCCGGCCCAGGTTTGTTTTTAGTCGATTGGCCAACTTTGACTGTGTAACACCGAACTTCACATTATTATTATTATATACTTTCATTTCTAATGTTCATGTCACTGGTAATATTCGTTCACCCTTGAGAGGGCGGTTGGCACGTTGTGTTGTGGTTTACAGCTGCACCTTGCGCCCAAAGACATCTGATTTCAGTACTGTCTAACTTAGCCTCCCCCTGACGCTTCACTCGATCAAAAACTATTTGTTGATGACAGAAACTGTTAACTAAGACGGCTCAGCATCCACTTTGGTTTGGGTCGACATGGATGCCAAGGTTAATTAAACATCGACCCTTCGGAGTAGGAGAGATGATGAGTGTGGGTTTTTATTTCCTCTATTTGTGAGCATAGTGTACTTTTTTTTTTAAATCACGGAATATTACCATGGGTTCTACCACTGGTTAGGTGATGGAGTTTTATGTCGGGGACACACTTAAACTATACAGTCCGTGGCGACAGCATGCGGCGCTAACACCTCTTTTCTACACCGACCTACACAAACTGTAGTGACAGTTTTTGTTGTTGTTGTTGTTGTGATGGTGGTGGTGGTAGTGGTTGCAGTAGTACTGGTACTGGATGGGTGATGTGGTAGCTGTTACACTGGCCACATTTACTTCTCAGTACAAGTTAATGCTACCTATTTAAGTCTGGGCGGACACGGATGCCAAGCTCAATTTAGTTACAATATTTCGTCACATGGTGACTTTCCCATCCTTCGGCGGGGAGGATGATATGATTGGGGGAGGGGGGAGGGTTATGCCAGACACAGTTAGCTGAGAGAGCTTCAAATATTATTTTAAAGTTCTAATTTCCTAACTATTTCTATTTTAATCGCCAGGTGATGATTTTTCAATCCTTCTGAGAGGGAAATATGATTGGTGGTGGTGGGGGGAAGGGGGGGGGGGGGTTATGCCAGACACTGTTAGCTAAGAGAGCTTAAAATATTATATTAAAGTTCTCATTTCTTAACTATTTCTATTTTAATAATTTCGCCATGGATGATTTTTTAATCCTTCGGAGAGGGAGATATGACTGGGTCGAGAGGAAAAGGGGGGGGGGGGATATGACAGACACTGTTAGCTGAGAGCTATTTTTTTTTTCCTTTCCATTTCACCATTCTGGGCCACAGCAACGCGTGGCCGGGTACAGCTAGTGCTTAATGTTTACTTTGAAGCCCAAAATACATAATAAAAGCTTCCAGTAGAAGGATATTCTTCTTCTTTTCTTCTTCTTCCTCTTCTTCTTTTTCTAGAAGGATATTCTTCTTCTTCTTCTTCTTCTTCTTCTTCTTCTTCTTCTTCTTCTTCTTCTTCTTCTTCTTCTTCTTCTTCTTCTTCTTCTTCTTCTTCTTCTTCTTCTTCTTCCTCTTCTTCTGCATAATGATTATCTTCTTCTTCATTTTTCTTCATCACCATTATCATCTTTTTCTGCTTCCCCTTCTTCTTTCTCATCTTCTTTTTCTTCTTCTCTGTCTTCTTATTTGATTCTTCAGTCAGAAAACTTATATTGGGAGGCCAGCAGCCTTGAAGGTTATTATGCAGTCCCTATCTCCTTGTGTGCTATACACTTTTGACTTTCAGGAAGCCAGCGGTTATTTCTTTATTTTGTAAGACATTATATTTCATGTAGGATGGTTAAGGACTGAAGATGAAAACAGACTGAGAGGAATTGTTTGATCTTGACCAGTAATTAAAATTGGCAGATACAAATATATCCAATGCTAACTATTCACTGACTGTAGCTGGCACTTTGTGTCACATGAACAAGGGATTTAGTTACTAGCTTCATGTTGATGGTGACTCCACACATGAAAAACTAAAACTAAACTATACAATAAGTACACAGAGCCATAGTGTTGCTAATAGCAATAACCAAAATGTGACCTACATCTTCTGCATACATCAAATTGCCTTTCCTCTAATCGAGAGGATGAAAGGATCCCTAAAAGGTGAACTTTCCTGATTTTTAGATTAAATATTGTTTTGAGTTTTCTGGTGTTGTTTTCCAAGCAAGCATGCGCCAAATCAGTACTATTGTATGGGGCGGAAACATGGAGAACAACCAAGGCAATTACTAATAAATTACAGACATTCATTAACTGGTGCCTGCGCAGAATAGAGGGAATAAAATGGTATGATAGAATAACTAATGTAGAACTTTGGGAGAGAACTAAACAGGCTCCAGTGGATCAGGAGGTGAGGAAAAGACGCTGGTGTTGGATAGGGCACACACTGAGAAAACAGGAGAACAGCATAACTAGAATGTCTTTGCATTGAAACCCATAGGGGCATAGGAATAAACGAAGGCCAAAAAACACAAGGAGAAGAGAACTGGAGAATGAGGTTAGAAAGATTGGGAGGACATGGGGAGAGCTCCATGCAATGGCGAAGGATAGAACGACTTGGCGTGAGTTGGTTGAGGACATATGCTCCATTGGGGGATAGAAAGGCAGAAGAAGAAATGCGCCCGGGCTGGATAAAATAGTTAATATCTTGGTTCAAGAAAAACAGGCTTTTGATGTGTATTAGATGTTTATTAATATACATGGGGATCTGGCTGGCGTTGTTCGTGTTTCAGAGTTGAGCTTCACAGTTAATTGTGCTCTCTTATTCCCCATATGGACGGACAGACGGTTGTTTACTGCATTTTTGATAGACTGGTAAGATGGAGAAAAGTGGGTATCCAGGACAGACACTAGTCTGTGAAGACCCTGGACAAACACTAGGCTGAGGACTTCTGGACAGACTCTGGTCTATAAACATCCTTGACAGATACTAGTCTGTGGGACATTCTGGGCAGATACTAGTCTGTGGGACACTCTGGGCAGACACTAGTCTGTGGGACATCCTGAATAGACACTAGTCTGTGAGACATCCTGGACAGACACTAATCGGTTAGACATCCTGGACAGAAACTAGACAGGGAACATACTGGACAGACTCTAGTCTGTGAACATTTTGGACATACACTAGTCTGTGGGACATTCCGGACAGACACTAGTCTGTGGGACATTCTAGACAGACACTAGTCTGTGGGACATCCTGGATAGACACTAGTCTGTGAGACATCCTGGACAGACACTAATTGGTGAGACATCCTGGACAGAATCTAGACAGGGAACATACTGGACAGACTCTTGTCTGTGAACATCCTGGAAAGATATTAGTCTGGTGATATCTGGGCAGACACCAGAGTGTTCTCTGTGATAGTGCCTGGTATGAACTACAGAATGTGAATGCTGTGAGACTAAAAGCATTACAGTAGTTTCCACTGTGATGGCAGACAGTCAGCACCCATGTCTTGCTCCATCACTGGTCTATGTATATGCTCTATGGTAGTGTTCTAGAAAAGCGTGAATGTGTAGTATAACACCAAAGATGGGTTTTTTCCATAACTACAATGTAACATGTTTTTTGCAGTGCCAACGTTTATATCCAAGGCACACTGCGCTCAGTAATTAACCACAGTGGCCTGCCAGTTTGTTCCCCTGTAAAGAAGTAAAGGACCGTCTTTAAGACATTAGGGCATATGGTGATGGAACTATATGTCTGTAGACTAATCAACACTATATGCAGGTTTATGGTCACTTTTACTTCACACAAAATTTCATGGTACCTTTCTTTAATGCATAGTCGGAATGGAAGTCCAGGTCATTTTCCCAAA